CTGGAGCGCCCCGCGCGCGCGGAGGGGATGGAACGTTGCTAGAGTTGGCGGGTCTCGCTCCAGGCGGCAGGAGCCTCCCGCTTCGGCCCGCTGCGCTCTTAAGCGGGAATCCGGGAGGCGGGCAAGTCTGCAATTAGTGCACATATTTTAAATCCCGGAATCCGTGGACGCCATGCACCGGTAAAGCGATTACAAAGAGGGGCAGACTTGAATGGACCTTCTTAATTCATTTAGGCCACGAGTCTTGCTACTTGCTGAAATTGTTGCTAATGCTGCAATGGGAACGGGTTCTCAGCCCCTTTTGGGGGAAAAGCGTGGGTGGATGGATGGATGCTTTAGTGCGGTGGTCAGTGTGTGGTTTTATTTGTCTTTCTGTATTGGGCTTTCCTGCTCATGCTTTGAATGGCTGTATGGTTTCCCTCCACTTGAATAAATCCTTGAGGCCTTTTGCATGACCAGAATCGTAAATCAGAAAGCCTTTTTGATTTGCTCCGTTTTTTTCTTCTCTTTCATGCTTGGGAACTCGCCGCCGGCATGTAAAAAATGCAGTCCTGTTAGCTGCATGACTACATTGCATAACTTGCAGTTTCCTTTAGGCCTCTACCAATTACTTATGGGTGTGTTCTCAAAGGGAGGGGGCTATTGTGCATTTTTGCAGGAAACACCTCCAGGAGATTCCCGACCAGTCGAGCAACGTGGCCACCACCAGCTTCACTTGGGGATGGGATTCTAGCAAGACTTCGGAGCTGCTGTCAGGCATGGGGGTCTCCGCCCTGGAGAAGGAGCGGGTGGACAGTGAGAACATCCCCCAGGAACTGCTCTCCAACCTGGGCCACCCGCAGGGCTCCCCGAGAAAACGGCTGAAGAGTAAAGGGAATGACAAGGACTTTGTGATCATCCGCAGACCCAAGCTAAATCGAGAGAACTTCCCAGGTAAGGTATGAGGGTAAAAGTGTCAGTCATGGGAGGGCTGAGGTGAACTATTTTGCTGGTAAACTTTTGTTCTGGGATCTTTAGGATGGGGCCCTTTTAAAAACACCTAATTCTGAAGTTATATTTTCCAAAGAAAATAACTCATTGTCAGTGAAGTGTATAGGAATCTTGGCAGGTATATACATATATCTCCTAGTGCTCAATTGATTTTTAACCCATGTGAAATTTTAACCCATGAGAAGACATCCCTACCTTTTTCCCTAGAAAGGGATCTGCCCGCTCGAAGGCCAGCTCGGTGCCACTGATAAATGGGAACAAAGGCGATGATCTTCTAGCCGGACTCTCTTTTATTGTATTCTGCTGCCTTGTGCCCCTGGTTGAGCTCTTCGCCATAATCACATTAGTGATTTGTCAAAGGCTTGCTAAAGTGGATGTTCAACTAAGTGGCGGAGACTTAACGAGGTCCACTCCCCAACGGGCTTTTTGTCTTGTGGTCTGTCTCCCTTACGCATTACCTGTTCAGTCACGCAGCCCAAAGACCGAAGGCCAGTCCCATTCCCGCCATTCCCCCCCCCAC